TCCTGCCACCCAGCACCACTCATTTACTCAAGCTCATGGACCAGTAGGTCACTTCAAATTCAAAAAAAGTTCTACACTAAAGCACTCATCTGAACGTACCATCTCCCTTTCAGGAGTTTTGGAAAGGCCATTTTTACATCCTGCTTCAACATGATCGACAAGGCACGGGAAGAGCTCATTCAGAGAACCCTAATTTCTGGCGGCAAGAAGCTTTGATGGATAGCTAGGACTCGTAGCTAGATTCGACCGGACTTGACTACTCCAAGGGGTTTAGCAAGCAAGGGCCTGTGGAGCGTGTAATCGACGAGACTGTGTCTCTGGCCAAGATTATGAGGCTTCAGGTGAATAACAATGACATCGATCAGCTAGTGGAAGAGCAAAACCAGAAACTGACACACACACACATCGTGTTGTACATTAAAAAACAACACCCCAATAAGGCAGTATATATGCGACCTAAGATTTTATTTAACGATAATGTTGTCCCTCATTTTCGGCAAATTTTGAGACGTAGGCAAAAACAAGTTTCTCAGAAAACTTTCTCGTGAACAGAATGTATTACAATTAATGAACTACATTATTTTAACTTTGACTGAGCATCCCCCCCCCCAGAATAAAAAGATTATCCCATTTTACTTTGATTCTGATGGGGGGGATGTTTCGTTTGAAGAGTGATCCGCACTGAAAGTAAAAATTCTGGATCAAATTATGCTCTTTATTTAGTACCTGTACAGCATGCATCATTTAATCCAGGGGTGTAGCGGGGAGATAGCAAGCTAATGAAGAGCTACCAGTCGATCGCAGTAAGCTTTTACTAACCACTAGCTTTCCATTTATTATATTATTGTTTTAAACGTTTCTTGAGTATTATTATTTAACGAAATCACTAGCTAATAAAAAAAAAAGAGAAAGAGAAAATGCTCATCAAAAAAATGACAGCTCTTTTACATAGCATTACCAGGGTCTTGCTATCGCGTAGCCCCCATCCATACTTACCCCCAAATAGCGCCTACATCCTGTAGTGGGACACTCATATTATCTGCGGATTCTTCAAAATCTCTTATAAAGGCTAAGAAAAAAAAATAGTTTAAGACCCCTAAAAGCGCAATGGGCGTAGGTATAAAATGTTAAAAAGAAAGGCATTTCCTCAGCTGCGGCAGCACTGATGCGATTTGTGTAAATTTAACGACATAATTATTAACCCTTTGACTATTAACGGTACATGTGTTTCACATAAAAGTTTAAAAAGACTGGTGGGTTAAAAAGTACTTGGAATCTCCTGAATGTTTGGGGATCATCTTCCAGTAGTTGGAAAATCAAGACGCCGCTATGCTCGTTGCACACAAATGAACGTTAAAATAGATATACTGAGTTGCCCAATGGAATGTTGGGTTATGCAAAGTATGCTTTGCTCTGTACCATACAATGCAAATCTATTCCACTTAATAAAATTTTCCGGAATAACAGATAAGCTTATCGTAAGTCGATCGCTACGCGTGGAATATATGTATCCCACCATTAACAACGGCTGGGACACTAGCTTGAAAACCATTTGTCAAAAAAAATCCCAAATGCTAAACTTACCTTATTTATGACATATTTTGTTTACTAGGATAGGAAACAAGGTAATATATATATAAGATAACAATGTATGAATCAGAATTATAATATAATTATAAACATTAATTCTTCCTCTCTATTCTAAAATCGTAATAACTTGTCTGCATTGCGTCATTCAAATTAATTATGCGATCTTACGTAACCGTTAATACCAGATGCCTCTTGACAACCAATCACCGAATTGTAAACCAAAACTTTTCTCTTCGCGTGCTTTCATCTTTCATAACTACGCACTTCAGCTTTTGCTCTCTACTGTGCTAAGATGTAATTTCGCGCTGGCTTGCTTTCTATCTCAATAATATCAAAAATGTAAATCTTCTCTGTGAAAGGCACGACTAGAGTGCCAAGTGATTGTGGCCACAATATCAATTGGAAATAAAAATGGAAGTAGAACTGCCTCGACTGCCAAGTTCTTTAAATACTACGCAATCAAAATTCTTCTTCAATATGGATCTAATCACGCATCTACACTGCTCCGTCTTTTTTCCTTTGCTCTTATTATGACATATATATATATATTTTATTTGTAGTTAAAGGGTTAAAAGAAGTTATTCAATATGAAAGTACTTCTTTGCTGTTAAGACTCTTTACCGAAAATGCCTCGTAAGAAAAATGTACGTAGAACATTTTACAAATCTTGAGTAATAATTAAGAGAAAATAGCAGTTCCAATATGGAAGAGCATAACAAAAACCATAAAACGAAAAGTTTCGAACGGTGAAAGAAACAACGTTGGTAAAACAGCACATAATCGCAAAAATTCTGAGATGTAGTTACTTATATGCTTCTTGCAGCTGTGGAGAGTATCAAGAAGAACGTACAGGCGTTTAGTTTCTTTGCTTTCTTACAAGGAGTCCCATTGCGGCCCTCGCAAAAGCGGCATAAAAACCCATTAAGGCAGAAGAAAGTAAAATAAAAACGTCAATAATTATGCGATTATAAAACAAACATAAAACTCGTTTCTCCATCCGAGCCGCAGGCGTGGTAAACGCAAGATGAAAAGAAAATGGCGCCTTTTTCCAGCCAAAGAAGGGGAAACATGTATTTATGAGCACGGAGGGGGGGGGTGAATTTGGCGGAAAGGAAAGAAAGCAATTTGATTGGAGTCCCCGAAATAAAAAAAATATCGATAGCCTGACCTCTTCTCAATAAACTCATTGTTTGGTATATACCAGATAAATTATAACTGTTTGGTAAATGTTTAGCGTAAATCAAGCGCGAGCGATTGAATTCCCAAGATACCCTCCTCTCGCCTACTCAAATTTCACCTCTCTCAAAAATTCTAATAACGTTCAAACAAAATAATAAACAGGAAAACTAAGGCATAGATATTTTTATTGCGACTATTTCCTTTCTTCGTTAACTAAAAAACGATAAGGCACATGCTTTGCACTCATGATTAAGTAATTTAGTTACGAATTTTGCAGATATGTACATAATTTAAACGAGATTACGTATGAAATTGTAGTATTTTTTGTATAATGTAACATGAAATGCTTGAAAGAAATGAAGCTCTGCCGGAAAGATAAGGATACAGGGAAAAGTCTATTTAAACACTGAGGTAAATGGTTATCTTACTAAATTGGCGAGATATCGCCAAGCTGGCGATGGCTTTGTCGTTTAAATTTTGTCGCCAAGTTTGACCAGAAATTACCAAAAGTCGCCAACCCTGGCGATAATTTACTCCGGTCCCTGTAAAACTGTAATTAGTATCGTAATTAAATAACATTGATTGGTGCCTATATGCTACTGTAATAGTATCCAACCTCAAATGGCTTTCAATAATTTCGAGAAATGGAAGGTGCTAGAGATTTCTCGCTGGCCGGGATAAAACGATATAACCACGGAGAGCGTATCAGTTTAGTTCAGCGTATGGAATACGCCGTATGGAACGCCGTTCAAGTATGGAATATTGAGAAATCTCCGTGTGAGTTTCTCGTTTTAAATCAGCTTTGTGTTACGCCGTGTTTAACGTTTTTAGTACTTAAGAATAACTACGGATTGTATTATTGAGTTTCTGCACCATTTTCAATGTCTTTTTGCCGAGTGGTATCAAAAGTAAGCTTCCAGTTTTGTGCACCGAAAAATCCGTCTTTCTGCCTAATTTTAATTAATTTAAATTCTAATTTTAATTGTAAAAAATGTTTTTTTAACTGTAATTGGTATTTTATGCTTTTTTGTATTTTATGTTTTGAGATTTATGTATTTTTTTCTTTGCCGCAAAGAGAGAACCGAAAGAGAAGGAAGTCATGTCGTGCCCACATCGGATTTTTTTCATAACATACATAAAATAAAAAAATAATAATAATAATAATAAATAAATAAAAATTTGAAAGCCTTCAGATTTTATATTATGCTCAAAGGGTCGTTTTTTAATGTTTTGTGTGTTTCTTTTGTAGAGACATTAGACCTTAAGCGCATTTTTGGAAGCAGGCAAGATGAAAAATTAGCAACGCCTTCTCCGGGAATCGAACCGCGGACCTCTGGAATACGCGCCCAGCGTGCAGACCACCACACCATGAAGGCATGCCAAGAAGGCGGGAGAAATACCTTGTACTAGCGGTTCTCAACCTTTTGACTAACGCGTACCATATAAGCAAAAATTGAAAACCTTTAGTACCACCAAAGTACTACTCCTACCTCTTGAACAACCACTACAAAGTACTACTACTACCTCCACTCTTGAACAAAGCTCAGATCGCATAAATTTACGAGTGTTATAGAAAAAAACTTAATCAGAATGTGAGGTTTTAATTTTTGAATTTAATAATTAAATATCATGTTCTTCGCACTTAAACCATAAAATTCAATTAATAGCAATATCACAAAATATTTTTAAAAAGTATGTTTTAAAATTTCCGATATACAGGCTCGCGCGTCAGTGATTTCCCCCCCCCCGTTACAATTTTGCCAATGCTCGCTTTGAAATCGTTGAGTTTCTTAATCAAAAATTCTTTAAAGTTTTACAAAATATGAAATAGATAATGAAACAAATTCGAAATTCAAAATTTGGGCTTTCAGGTGGAATATTAGAGTGGAGGACTACGTTATTCAAAACTGGATGTCTCTAGGTACCGACGTTTTTTCACAGTGCGAGAAACATACATACACATTCATGCAGGTTCTTCATTTTTTATTTTTTTAAATATAATGCAGGGCTCTAATATTTGGTGGCAACAATTTGAAAAGTGTTTCGCCGTTTACAGTGAACCAACGCAAAATCCCAAAACGAAATTAATAGCCCTTCTGGGCAAACTGCGCCTTAGGGCTAAAAAACTTTACTAATTGGATGACTGTGCAGTACAACTCTGATCTCTTTTTGAAAAGCATTAGTGTTCCTACCTGCAAATACACTTTCTAATATTCAACCTTTAATTTTAGGTCTTACAAAAAGCTTATTACAACAGAAAGATGTTCAGTAAATGATGAACATACGGAACTTGTTGAAAATGCACTTCGAAAGAGGTAAGTTAAGCCAATATCTCCTACAGTCCATGTATAGTATAGAAAATACATAGGATTAATATCTTAAAATAATTTAGAAACTGTTTCCGAAAATGTGGCTTTTACGCAGAAACCTCAGGCGAATTGCAAACTATAGCTAATATTTCAGACATCAGTGAGGGAAGTTATAGAGATTATTTTTTAGAATATGTGTATATATTTAGATTTCTAGAATATTTATTTATACTTTAGAGATATTCACAATAATATTGAGGCAGGTGACGGAGAACTGCCGCACCTGACGTCTACCAGAGGTAAGCAGGATATTGAGGCAACGAATATAAAAACTAATTATGAAAGTATAAGGTATTTTCATCCTTCCAGCATGCCTCTCGTGATGTAACGTTAGCACACTCGGCGCGTCTTCGAGAAGTCCAGGCTCCAGTCCCGGTGAGGGTATTACATATTTTTCACGTCTTCAGCATCGAAAAACTAATGACTGCTACAGTAGCGTCCGAACTGAAAGGTGGCGAACAATAATTCGTCCCCACCAAGATTTGGAGATTGGTCCCCAAATCTTCAGTCGCCCTTTAAAAGGAGGAGTATATAAGGTATTTTCTTCCTCCTTCCAGCATGCCTTCGTGGTGTAACGGTATCACACTCGGCGCGTATTTGAGAGGTCCAGGTTCGAGTCCCGCCAACGGTATTGCTCATTTTTCACATCTCCTTGTCCAAAATAACGTAATGACTCTCCAAAAGTGTTAAGAGAACTGCAGAAACCTAAAATGTTAGCATGCCATCATCAGTTAAACACAGATGACTTGAATCTAGAAAAACACTGTGGATTCTGAGGAAAATTCTTGATCTAAAAGGTGCTGATCAAAAAAAGCTACCAGCACTTTTACGTAAATCAGAATACAATCGAAAAACGGTTGTAAAACAGTTAAAATATATGTTTAATATATGTTTCAATATATGTACGCTAAATACAAGGTTGTTATTGCGATTTTGATTGTCACATTGGCGTGTTTCTCTTCTATACTTTTTGTAAAACTGTTTGAAGCAGAGATAGAACAGTTACTCGTAAGAGAGAAAATTTCAACAAGAACGTAATTATAAAGAAACTTCTTTTAAAATTAAAAATGCGTAAACAGTTTAATTTGGGTATTAACCTTTAATATTATTTTTGCATTAATTAATAAATTAGTTGTCAGTTATTATTTTACTTGGAAATTTCAAAACTGATATCATGGTTTGATATACAGAAATCACCGTCTTTTAAACTTAGCCGTTTTATAAACTGTGAACATATACAGGTTAAGAAGCGAGGTTAATTTAAAAGGAACGAAAGTGATTTTAAATAAGCGGCATGTATTCTACCTAATAACATATATCATTACTTTACTTTCCAGTAATAGCTCTCTATTTAATGAAATTATTACAGAAATAATCCATGACTTATGAATCCACTTCACTGATAATTTTTATAAAAAACAGCACCAACACTGTAACCAATACACATCGCAATTTTTTATTAAAAATACTTTCCGTTAATTTTATTAACAGCGTGCTGCGTCACGCCAGTAATAACTAAAGAGTTTGAAGTCTAGCTCGCCATTTTTTCGAGTACAAAGGGTTAAAGTACCATTGCCAGCTGGAAGATATAAATTTTACAATACAAATAATGCTTGCACTGAAGCATACCTGTTTGCTGGAACATGATGTTTAAGATTCAGTCATGAATGGCATGACGCTAATAGACCTCGGACACCTGTTTTCAATTCTAATTTTATCAGGAAAGGGTTGAGGGCGGTCCGTCTGATACACAAAGCAAATTACCCTAAGGAAAAATACTGCCGCGTAAGCTGTAAACCAATAGAGGACCAATAAATGAATGAATAGCGCCTTTGTACCTACCTCCTTCCGAGTAAGAAACGCTTGATTAAGTACCCATTCATCCCGAAGAGCCATTTCAGGGATAGGGGTTTGGGACTGTCAACTCTTTGATGACAACAAAATGACCAGGTGTTTGTTCCCTTTTATTGGATTACATGGGAGGGAAAAGGGAGTGTAAGTCTTTATTGCGAGGGGAAAGTGAGAGGTGTAGAGAAATGCGGGCTCAATTCTGATGACTGTCATAAATCGTCCCCAATCTCGTCTCATACAAATGAAAGGATCCATCTGGATAGGAAATGGGCATGCTGGGGGAACACAGCATCACTTCACCTTCCAGAAAGACCGAAAGGATTACCCAAACTGACCCTTCTGAAAGCGTCCAGTCATTAATTAGCGGCGAAAGCAATCACCCGACTAATTGGGAAGGTCGAGGCCTCAAGAGATAACGTGGAATAACGGCGTTATTTTATTAAAAAGAGGACTCCAGTAATAAGGGAAGTACCAAATAAGATTGGTAAGTTACCTCAGACGCATATACGTCTTCCCCGTTAGAAGTTTAGAAAAAAGATAAATATACACAGGTTAATAACCGAGGTTAATTTACAAGCGAAATACATTCTTACTGGCATAAACCGCACACATATACTATTCAGTAGCGCAGCTAGGGTGGGGCAACTAACTAACTAACTAAGATTTCTACCGCAGCTCGTGAATTTAATCACATTCTGGGAACGGGAAAAATCCCGAAAGCGTCACCCACCGGTGGGAGATGGAAACTTAGGGTCGATGACCGGCCGTTAATTGGGCTACCTGCCAGTTCTACACGGGATGCCCCTCTCCTTAGGCTTTTACATGGAATACCAAAGACAGCAGGGACCAGACGCTCAATGGCCCAGTTTGCTATTTGGCTACCAATACCCTGGTGGAAGGGACTTACACCTCCCGGCCCATGAAGATCAAGTATAAACCTACCTTATGGACCATCGGGAACCGCCAAGTTCATAAATTATATACCCCCGTGGCCGAGACTGCCTAGGTACAGATCCTAGCCAGTAGCTTCGCAGAGTTCTCTACGTCGACCCCAGGGGGGGAGGGGGGAAAGGGGGCACAGCTTTCAGGGGGCGCCAAATTGATGTTACGAAATTTTAGAATGAAGTGTTTTCCTTTCTTGGCACAGAGAAAGGGGAGCAAAATCTTCAATTGTCCCCAGTTGCTGAAAACCCTAGCTACGCTTCTGATACTATTACTTACACATTGTTTTACTGACATACACTATTACAAGAGTTCGACTGGTGCCGCGGCAAATTTTATTAATAAGGTGTTGTGTCACGCCTGGCAATAAATAAAGAGTCTGAAGTTTAGCCCGCCGTGTCTTCGAATACAAAGGGTTAAAATACCATTGCAGCTGGAAGACATAAATTTTACAATACAAATAATGCTTGCACTGAAGCATACCTGTTTGCTGGAACATGATGTTTAAAATTCAGCGAAGAACGGCATGACGCTAATAGAGATTAGATACCTGTTCTCAATTCGTATTTTTTTGACAGGATAATACAATGGACCTTCTTGCATTGTAACTCAGGTACAGCGTGCAGAACTTCAATAGCACATCAGAAATTGTTGAGTCTGACACAAGTTTCTCAGAGTAGCCTGCAAGTAATTTTCAACAAAATGCCACAAAAAACTGTAAGAAGGAATTAGATCTTGTGATCTGAGGATCTCATAAGTGAATAGAGACCCTCTTTTACAGTCCATCCTTACATTGAAGCGGTCAGCCAAAAATGCACGGAAATCGTCGCCAAAAATAAAGAGAACTTCTAACGTGCGTGTTGGGTTTATAGTATACGTCGTATTTACAAAAGTCCTTACCCGGTCTTTAGTTTCGCAGCCGTTGGTTCGTATCTACAAAAGTCCTTACACGATCTTTAGTTTCGCAACCGTTGTTTCGTATCTACGAAAGTCCTTACCCGGGTTTTAGTTTCGCAACTGTTGGTCGTATCTATAAAAGTCCTTACCGGATCTTTGGTTTCGCAACCGTTAATCGTATCTACAAACGTTCTTACCGATCTTTAGTTTCGCAATCGTTGGCCATATCTACAAAAGTCCTTACCCGGTCTTTAGTTTTGCAACCATTGGGTGTATCCACAAAAGTCCTTACAATGTCTTTAGTTTTGCAACCATTGGGTGTATCTACAGAAGTCCTTACAAGGTCTTTAGTTTCGCACCGTTGGTCGCAGACATACTTCCTGTTACAACAATGTTTTAAATGATGTACTACATAACATTTTCGATGCAAGTAATATTTCTCAAAATAAGAAAAAAACTGATTCTGAGCTTTTAAGAGAATGGCAGATTTCACATTGTAATTAACGAAACTAACCAAACGTTAAAATTAAATCTCTGGGATCAGAATAGATTTTTTTTTTTTTTTTCCCGAAAAGGAAAACAGGCATAAAAAGAACAATTTTCTATGCACAGCGAAATACTAAATCCACCCTCTTCGCATAATTCAAACGACCCTTCCTATCGAGAAATTATGTCCAAACCTAAAAAGATACTAGAAACTAAAAGCTAAACAGGGAATCTAATTGATTTATAAAATGTACGCGATAAACACACCTGCAACGTCAACGCTCACTGTCGCTCTTTGTCCACACTGCGGCTCAATAAACAATAATTAACACTCATTAGAAGGAAGATCCGACGCATTAAAATAGAGCTGATCTGTAGCAGCGCGAGTGTCAAACTTAATTACATTCATTAACTCTAATGATCTTTTCGCGACAACACCGGAGGCGAGATTTCGTTCTTCTTTTTTCTGTTCTACAGAGTATTTTCAGTGTAATAATAAGGGAATGAAAGCGACATATAAATCTTTCTTGTCAGCTGTGATGAAAGCTTTCGCAAATAAACACTAAAAGCTCTTTCTTTGGAATGCTTATATTGAAAGTAGCAAATACGCGCGAGCGGATGATAAGGTAATCTTATATTAGTATTTTGTTGAAAATCTCTGAAATGATGCTATTTAATATTTTTAAAGGAAAAAATATCGAAGAATATTACCGAAATATAACTAAAAGATCAAACGATTCAAGTTTTTTCTTTTTCGGCTTTTGAGAATC